AAACTACACACCACTTTCTTAATCACACTTAAAGGAATACAGCTTTATACAGGCAAGATTTTTGTATTAGTATTTTCATGTTGCTTCTAAGAATAAGGCATTGACACTGTGAATAAATATGCAAAAGCATGTCTAGAATCAGAAGAAAAACACCTTTTTATTTTAAATGAATGATTAATATTAATTTGTCAACATAAGCTACTTCATACACCATGTTTGTAACACAGAACTTCTGCAGGTGTTAAATCTACATTTGTGGTAATTTTAATTAAATGGTTAAGATAAAGGAACTGCATGCTATTTACAAGACTGCGTTTCTACTGAAATTATCACCTTAAAAGAATGTGTTTATTGTTACTGGACTGCTGTTGGAATGGTAGAATAGCAACATATTAGGAGGCCTTGAATATGGATTAGAAGTAGCAAAGCAGATTTTAAAACAGGTTGTTAATCAAAAAGTGTGGTATTTTTGGCCCTGAAATAATGACTTGTTTGAAAACCTCATAGAATCACCTAACCATAGAATGGTTAGGGTTGGAAGGGACCTCTGGAGATTATCTAGTCCAACCCCTCTGCCAACACAGGTTCATCAACAGCAGGTTGCCCACATAAAGAAGTCTCTGTATAAATATGTATATATCAGAAATATTTAGTGATACTAATAATTCCACAATAATGCAGCATGAAATGAACAAAAAGTACATTACAAAAATTTTACCTGAGGAAACATCCAGGATTTCCATTGGATTACTACCATGCCCATGAGTACTACATTGGCCTTTCCATCTGACCTCATTTTTATTCAACAAGGCTCTTGTACAGAATTTAGCATGAGTATAATGAAGCACACTCTAATGAAGATCAAATGCTACACATGCCTCAAGGAATTTCACAGACATAAAAGAATTGCTTTGCCTTTTAGATTAAAACATACTTGAGGAATCCACAAAGAGAGTAAATAAAATCATGCTGTCACTCATAAGGAAGTTAAGTACAGCAGGTTTGCGAGAAGGCTCTTACTTCTGCCAGTTTCTCTGGCATGAGGAAGGAAACGAGGCTTGTCAGGGTTTGGAGTGCAGAGGAAGTGGCAGCACGTCATGACAGTTCCTCCAGTGCGCCTATTACGTGGGCTCAGCAGACTGCAGGCGAGTGTACTGCTACCAATATTCACTGCTAGCAGAGCCTTCTGGCTTTGCGAACATCAAGTGCCTTATTGCTAAGATAAAGAGGGCATTTCATACCTGAATACTTTAACTGAGTCCTTCTGGAAAGCTCCAATATCCAAATTTTGGACTAGAAATGGCAACTCCATTGTAGTTATTTTGTCATAATATTTGGAAAATTATTTTCCATAATATTCCACATCTAAGAACATGGCTATTTCATCACCAGGTCTTTCAAATATACTAGCAAACTTACTTTAACTTTATCCACAGATGAAAACGTAGATAAATAATTAAGAATAAGTGATGTTTTCTCCTTCTTTGATTGAAAAGTAATTGATATAATCCATTGGGAAAAAAAAAAAAAAAAAGCTTCATATGTAATCTAATAAATCAGATGGTCACTAATTGGTCTGAAATAGGAAAAACCCAAATTAAGATTTTGCTATAGTGTAATTCCTCAGTGTTTGGTTACATAAAAAAGTCTTACAGTCAGTCTTACTGCAAGTTTTCAAGCCTTCACCAAAGCAGAATTTTGACTTCAGTACTGGCAGGGTGTCAAAAAATCCACAGAACTAAGAGGACTACTCCACCAAGGGAACCACTGAAGTGATACACAGGCACTTTGGTCTCCACCTAAGTGCTGTACCATATGATTTCCTAACTTGAGTCAGGATCTGATTTCCCTACTTCATAAAATTCACATCTTTCTCCATAGCAGCAGGATTATGAAGAATCATGAGACATTAAAAAACATAGTAAAATCATCATAATTGGACTAATAATTTCAAAACCATGCAACAAAAAAGACTGCTGAAACAGCATTGGCATGCAGATAATTTAGGAGATAAGCTCTGGCCAGCTTTTGTCAGGAAGGACTTTGACGTTTTGTGCTTTTCTGTTAATTTAGGTCCAACAAAAATCCTTCCATAGTATTTTACTTAAATGGTGCATTTTATACTATTTCTATTTAGTGCTTGCAATATTCAATTGGTTTGTGTAACCAGTTTTACATTTTCAAGATGCTATTACATCTACAAAATGTAAAAGCAAAAAAAGAAAATTGTTTCAAGAATCCTAGATCACAGTAAGCATAGCAGAAACTGGTGCCTCTGATAAATTTTAATTTCATTCTCAAGGAAGATCAGAAGCTAGCAAACCTTTAATAATTTTTTAACAAATTGAATTAAATCTTTTAAAAGTTGGTGTTAAGTGAATAGTTCAAGGTTGCAGTAATATGCACAGATGAAATACATAAAAATATATGTCAAAAACTTCAGAAGATTTTTGATGGTAAAAGTGGAAAGGAGCTAAGCAGTGGCAAAAGTGATCTGATGTAAACTGGTTTCAGAGTATGAAGCGAGACTATGGCAGAAGTATCAGTCTGCCAGCAGGCCACAAACAACTTCTCATAACACTTCTCACTGCTGCCAATGATAACCTTCATTACCACCACCTTTGCCAGGGGTGATGCATACCCACAGGCTGGATAAATTCAATCCTTAACTGTAAATAACACTTCTGAGAAATTTAATTTGCAGTTCTTTTTTTTTTTTTTTTTGGCTAATGACATGAAACAAATTCTCAATGATGGTTTTAAAATATGCTACATGTTGTCTGGCTAACGAAGTGTAGTGTTTTATTATTCTTACAGAACAGTAACGACAGTTAATTCTTAACCATTAGAAACTCAAGAGTTTCCTGATGTATTTGCACAAGGGAACCCACATAAACTGCTCTCCCAGCAGCCATTTCCCAGGACCCCAGCAGGGGCTGGGAAGACTATGCAGGACCCAGGCAGTGACACTGGCTCCCTCTGCCCTGTGGCCATGTCGCAGGCTTGGCCACGCCGAGGGAGCCCTCCTTAGCGGCCAGCTTGGCTCCTGCCCTCCTCTCCACCTTCCCGTTCCTCTCTCCCTGCCCAGCAGGCACGACAGTTGCCCCAGGCAGCACGACGCAGCTCTCGCAGCACCCAGCACCGTTCTTGGCCCCAACTGCTGCCCCCCTGCAGCCTCCTCCATTTCTCATCGCCCTGGGTCTCAGCTGCTGCCCCACCGGGACGGCTCGGGACTGGACTGGGGTGACCCTCTCTGCCCACCTGCATGGCTCCCCTCAGGGCGCTGTCTCTCCTCACGGTGGCAGGACGGTGGCGGCCGTTGGGCAGGCCCACCCTGCCCTCACCGCTGGTGGCGGCAGCAGTGGGCCCCGGACGTTTGTCCCATCGGTTGTTGGTTACTGCTGACAAAACCCATCCTGTGTAAAAACGTTTCACAAGAAAACAAAACAAAACAAATAACAAAAAAACCCCCAACAAACCACCCAAACCGAAATAAACAAAATCCAAGCAAACAAAACATCAAAGACCGGGCACGGCCAGTCTGGGCCACTTTAGCAGGTGGTTTGGTGCTGGGTGTGACGAAGGCAACAGCTCCGCATCCCTGCCTCGCCCTTCAGTCGCCGCCTCTGCATCCCGCTGCCTGCTTGAGTGGAAACTATCGGTCATGCGGTGTAAGGCCGTGGGGGGAAACACTTAAGCAAATAACCTAATTTAATATCATACAGTACGATATGATACGATACGATACAATGCAGTACAATACAATACAACAAGTGTTTTGTGGCAGAAGACCACACGTTAGTTCTGACCAGGCGTCATATAAAAGTGGATCCTCAGTTCACAGATAATTGCAGCAGTTCGACTGGAGGCACAGCAAACTGCAGAGTGAAAACAAGTGGGTAAGAAGAGGAAAAGGACTTCTTAAGCTGGTTTCCACCTCTGAGGCCATCCATTTTCCCAGCTACTCTCTGAAGTTCAGCTACTCATCCAAGCTTGCAGAAGCAGGAGTAGTAATGCTGAGGCCAATTCAAACCGTGACCAAGCAATACCACGTTAAAAATAATAATGCACTTCTACACTGAATTATTAGATACTTTCAACATAATTACAACCTCAAAATCATAATTTAACACAACCCTGGTGTGAAAACAAACTCAAGAGAAAGAAGCTAGGAAGGATTGTGAGGCTAACTTTGTATTTTGAATGAAGTTTCTTTAAGTCTACATGAAAACCAGTTGACTTTTTAAGTGACTACTAATTCTTAAAGAGTGTAAATAATGTAATTAAGTCATCTACTGAATAAGAACCACACTGCATCTGTGCTCTTAATAGATTAAAAAAAAAAGCCATTGTATTTCAGTTGAATTAAAGTCAAGATATTTCTTCAAAACATGTCATAGAATCATAGAATGGCTTGGGTTGGAAGGAACCTTAAATATCATTTTGCTCCAACCTCCCTGCTGTGGACAGGGTTGCCAATCACTAGATCAGGCTGCCCAGGGCTCCATCCAACCTGGCCTTGAATCCCTCCAGGGATGGGGCATCCACAACTTCTCTGGGCAACCTGTTCCAGTGCCTCACCACCCTCTGGGTAAAAAATTTCCTCCTAATATCTAACCTAAATCTCCCCTCTCTTAGTTTAAAAACATTTCCCCTTGTCCTATCAAAACACGCAACTTGTTCAGTTTCCTTTTGTTCAGGGAACAGAGACTCTCACTTTTTTTCAGCCAGTGCAATGCTATTAACCTTAAGGCATTTTGAGGACTGCCAAACTCCTTTATCACCAATACAGTTCTGTAAGCCACCTACAGAGCACTTATCTTGGTGCTGCAGAAGCAGTCCACAGGCTACAGTGAAGGAAGTATGGGGTAAAAACATCACCTTGAAAACCAAACCAAACCTTTTGTTTGGCCTGCCTAGATAAGCTGTGATTTTAAAAACTGCACAAATCACCTAAAATATATTCTGAAAAATTGCAATAGTCTACATTGCAAACATGCTCATTAAAACAACTTTCTGAGTGCCTTTATTTATAATGGAAAATAAATGTACATAACAGTGTTGTTAGAGGCAATGTCTGTTGCATGCTCACACTGACTTTTTTACAGTTGCATTACACACAATTGTAATCATAACACTAGGAAACAAACAGTTTTAATATGCTTTTAATATAATCAAGAAAGTAAAGGAGCTTTTGAATCCTTAACAGAATCTAGTTTAAGAACATTTACATTCTAGTGATTTTTAATTGTACATTAGTAACAAATATTTTTTGTAAGGAAAACAGGATGTCCATGTACTCAGCATTCCTGCAGCATTAGTTCTAGGTCAGGAATCTAAAATCCTGAAAAATAAGAAAAGGCATTAGCTGTCAGTATGATATAACACTAACTACTGAAATTATGATAGAGGAATAAAATATATTAGAAAAATAGAGCATTATAATATTAGCATACTTTTTTATATCTCTCCAAATAGTTGAATGCTTTGAAATTAAATTCTGAAGGCCGTCCTTAGTTTCAGTGCAAGTTTTTTTCTGTGTGAGGTTAGAGGATTACTCCCAGGATGTCAGTTTACTTCTCAGTATGTATTTGACAGGTAGTTGAATCAGTTCTTCTTGACATATACATACATATCAACATTGATAAATTTCCAAACTATTTACAAACCTGGGATATTTTCCAATTCTTGCTGACAGAAACACTTCTGTGTTCTTTGTTCTAGGAACTGAGTACCTACAGCTTCTATTCACTTCATCTGAAAATACATGAATTTAACAAATCTGGGAGAAGTTTGTCTGGAAATCTAACTTGACTACACAGTTAAAGATTTTCTGAGACTACTTCTCAACATAAATATTGTGGACTATTTGTATAAAAATAAACTAATTTCAATGTAGATAATGATTAAAAGTACTCAATAAATACCTCCTTAGCGAAAATCCACTGATCTCTTTCCATTGCGTGGCTGAAAGACAAATATTCAATATGTGCTCTTTAAAACTGACTGGTTTCAGTAACAAAGCCCCACCCAACTTGGTAGGTATGGCAATTGGTAAACTTCTCAGTTCTGTCAATGTGATCATCATTAAAGATAAACCTGAGACCAGTTTAATGTCTATCCACCTCTGGAGGACAATTACATGGTAAAATTTACTACATATAGACTGAAGAATGAATTGCCCATCTTGTATGATTTTATAAAGGGGAGAAAACCACAAGAAGACAAAGAGACCATTATCCCTCATTCTTACTGCATTTTCTTAAAATGTGCTTTCAGTTGTCATTATTGCACTATAAATGTTTGTTGCAATTAACAAACATATATATAAGTCACTTTCAATGCTTTTATTTTTAGACTGTGTTCTTTAACATAGGCAAAGATTTTCTCCCTTTTCATCGTGGTCATTTTCAGAAATATTTTGCACTGCTGAGAGACTAAAACTGATTAAAAATTTCTTACTGAGCTTAATAAGGAATTGCTTTTTACTCTGGCATCATGAATGCACCGATGTTAATATTACCCATAACTTCGGCCTGCCATAAGAAGTCTAAAGATCCAAGCTTGATCCATAAGAAATGTAACTATAGAAACTTGCTGTCTTTTCATTAAAATCATAGAATCTTAGAATCATTTAGGTTGGAAGTGACCTGTAAGATCATTAAGTCCAACTACAGCCACTTTTTTAAAGCCATTAGCCATTCTCTTATTTAAATAGAAAAAAATATTAACCAAAATCAAAAGAGTTATTATTAAATCTGCCTTACCAACTCTAACTTGCTCAGTTTTGCTAAAACAGAGTGAAAAGGCTCTATGGCATAAAAGATGAACAGAGTAATTTCATTCTCATGAGAATTTCTGGATCTAGTTTCTAACCTTACTGGTCAAAACACAAGGAAAACGAGAAGGTCAAGCCCAGTAGCTGTTTTGATACAGTGTGTAAGCATAGCATTGTGTTTATACCACATGCAAATGTACCGTGTTGAACAATGCTTTAAAAGGATTGTCCAAGGTACAGTATTTTCTAGAACTTTCTCTAAGAATTATATATAATAAATCATGACTTATTAAGGCATAGCATGGTATCATGTATACACAAACATTAAGATGAGTACAAAAAGTTTCCTACTAAGCATTTATTTTAATCCAAGAAAATGTCTGGAGCAGATCTTGAGTAGCTCTATACAGTGGGATCTTACTGAAAAAAAAAATTCCTCAGTCACAGTAATTCTTCCTATAATTCACTGGTCCCTCTACTTTTTTTTTTTTTTTTGGTAATGCTCATCATGAAATGAAAAGGAAAAAAGTCAAACAAACCATACCCTATAGAAAAAGTAGCCTCTGCTTTGAATCCCTCCGGGTCCTTGAAGTTCATCCTGAAAAAAAAGTGGTTTAAATCATATGTACTCTTGCAAACGAACACATATAGAGAGGTTGTTTATGTACATATTAAAAGTATTTCTTCAGCACTATTATACAGTCTTGCCCCTTAAGGCATGCTTTATCTATATTTTTCCACGTCAGTAACAAGAAGTTCATGTTGTCATGTAGAAACAGCAGAAAACATATGAATGAGGCTCAAATTCCACCTCAAGTTTTGGGTCAGTTCAGATTGCTTTAGAATGGTACTAGTAATGATGGGCAGCCCTTGCCTTTGACTTTCCAGGTTTCATTACCCAGAGACAACCGGAGTGCCTTCATGGTAGCAAAGTCTCTATGGACAAAGTAGAGTTGGTCTGTGCACCTCACAGAAGGACAACAATGCAAAGCTTAAATATCAGAAATACTTGGGTTCTCCCAGGAATGTCATCCCAGACTGTTCCCAGAGGTGTATCATGATCACTCCTCTCAGACTAACTCCCAAAGGAAAGACCAATGCTTATGATCTTCCATCCTGTCTGTGCTGCACACATTGAGAAACAACTGTCTCCTGCTCCATACAGCAAGGCAGGGGAAAATCCATTTAAATATAACAAGTACACAGCATGAAGTATCCAGTTGCTTTAATGAGACCTTGATGATTAGAGAACACATTAGCTTAATCACAGTATTTTTATTGCTTGTGTTAACATCAGATATATGAGTGAGGTGTCTCCTGCAACTGGGGAGACAGGCCAATTGAGAAACAAAACAGTTCAAATCTTGTGCTTACCAGAACATAAAATTTAGATGGAATTTATTTAGCAATGATGGTATTTCTCAATTAAAAAATGGAGTCATGTGATCTCTAGGGTAATGATCATAACCTGCATTGTCATAGCAAGACATCACTTCATGCTCTCTTCTGATGCTGTATGAACTGTGTCAAACAGGATGGCTCCCATCATTTCCAAACACAGGAGTAGCTTCAATGCAGCACAGATTTCAAAGGAAGTAGGGTTTAAACTACACATCATTTCTGAGTCTTGCTTTTAATTTTGTCTTCAGTTCATCAGGTATACCATGATACCTAGTTTCTTTGCTGTACAAAAAACATCTAGATGATTTTTATTTATATTGTTCACCTCTTTCTAGCATTACTTGATCTCAGATCTATAATACATTCAATACTGTATTTTTTAAATTTAAAAAGGCTAAATAATTGTCTGTTAATTGAGTCTTGTACTTTGCCGTTGGAGTGTCTTATGATATGCATATTTCATTATTTTTCTACTTTTTCTATTAAATGCGTCAACAAAAATAGAAAGAGAAACAAAACAAGCAGTGTTGCAAGTTAAGGAAATTGATCTAGACCATAACAGGAACCAAGAGTACAACTACTAATATGGAATTGTGATTTACATTAATATGTCATTCTCTGCTTACAGCCAGACACCTCTTAAAGAAGATTACAGATTACAATTTCCTTGTTTGGTTTCATGTCAGAAGACTAGTATTAGAAAACAACTGAAGTTAAAATTTGCCTTCATTGTAACAACAGCCTTCTAAATTTTCAAGGGTTTGGAGATGTTAAAAAATAACTAATACCTGCTGTAGTGTACAAGCATGTATGTTCACAAACCTGCATGTATCTAGGTATACAGAAACATCTGTATTTGCAAAGAAGTATGGTTATTGAGAGTTTAATGCCTGTCCTCTAGAAGTTATCTTGTTGAGTCTCTTAGACTGATTTGCCAACAAAGTGCTCTTTTTTCTTCTTAGAACATATTATATTGGCCAAGATGGAGCTCAAGATTAATGACAAAATCTGGTGTCAGTCCAAACAGCGAAGAAAGAATACATTTAATAAAGTTTGTTTCCTCCTTCACCCATCCACCTTTTCAATTCCTTTTCTGGTCAGGGAGAGAGGTGGGTGCATTTATTTATGGCAGGTTCTGGTTTTCTTTCCAGTATTAGAAAAAGAAAAAAAAAAAAAATCAGCAGCAAGCTAACCTTTCCTGAAGCACATTCTGTGACACCAGAGTCAGGTAGTTCAACCAAAGGTGGGCAGCCCATAGGAACATGGGGGTTCCTGCTTCACGGGCAATTGGAGTTCCTCTGCATGTCTTAGGCAGGTTTGGTCTGATCCTCTACTGGCTTTAAAGTTTACCCATGCCATTTCCCCATCACCCCATCTGATAGAGTCTTTTGGAAAGATAGGTCTACAGCTTTTTCACAGTCAGGGAACAATCGCACTACTTTTATTATTGATGGCAGATTATTTCAGTGTTTTCTTGATTTTCTTATAAACTTGTACGGCCCTCAGGAATAATATTTAGAGAGGATTTAAAACTTTTATACTACAACACGCTGAAATCTGCCATATAAACAAATATAAGTGTAATATGGATTAATTTCAAAGATTTATTATGACACTAAAATAAATAAATAAGGTGCATGCAAAAATACCAAACCCAAAGAGTCTGCAAAGGAAATTGATTCCAGAAGATGCTAGCACTTTGTAAATATCTGGTGTTTATGTGCTGTACAGAAGTACACATCACCTCTAACAAAGTGACTGGTATTCACAGCAAAAAAATAAAAAAAGTTGCTTTCTATAAAATGTAATTCAATTTAGAGCTGTTTTCATTGTTTCCTTAGATTTATATGAATATTTTAAAATGCCTATGTTCTGTAAGTGCTCACCATGTCATAGAATGGTTTGGGTTGGAATGGACCTTAAAGATCATCTAGTCCACCCATTGGCAGGGACACCTTTCACTAGACCAGGTTGCTCAAAGCCTCATCCAACCTGGCCTTGAAGACCTCCAGGGTTGGGGACATCCACAACTTCTTTGGGCAACCTATTCCATTACATCATTACTTCATAAGGTATAACACCATAATTGCAAATTAAAGACTACTACTTATCACAGTGTGGAATGGTTGGAATTCTAACTGTTGCTATTTCAATGTACTAGTAGTTAAGACAAAAATAATACAAATAATAGCAGACATCTTTTAACCACTTGAAAAGATGACTAAGGAAACTTATAATACTCATCATCATTCATTCATTTCTACTTTGAAAATCTGATGAAAATAAGGTACCTTACAAAAAGAAGCTTGATAAGATGTTTGCCTTTTGCCACAAAATTGTGTCTTCCTGCTCTGGGCTCACTCCCAAAAACTATGACATTTTTTGTCTATTGTTTTAATTTCCTTTGGAATAAATATTTCCCAACACTATCCTGGAAAAAAGGACTTTTTATACCAGTGTATATTTACACCTTATATCAGATAGCTAGTATACTTTTAATTTTTTTTCTAAGGGTTTGTAGAGTATGGACTTTGATGTTTCTCTGATGTAAAAAAAAGTCTAAATTGTATGTCAAATGATGGCTTGACAGCTCTGAAACAGAAGCAATTTATTAAATTTCATTTGTGGATTGTTATAAGTATTGTGACTCTCTTTAAATATGTATATGAAGGCACATGATCTGACTGATATACTCTGTAATGTTTGATATTGTTATTACTTGGGGAAATATTCTTATAGTTTCTTTTTTTGAGCCCACCAAAAATAAAACTGCCATGATGAGGCCAAAATATGTTAGAATGCCAAATATGCTATGAATTTTAGGTTATTGTCTGTTAATTAATGTATTATATTTCCATTAATTGTGCCATCAACCTCAATGGAAGTAAATTCAGGATATTGAAGTATGCTAGCAAAGAAATTTATTGGATTTAAAAAGCAGTTTCTTTTTACTTACAGCAATTTTACGTTCCTGCCTTTATGCTTTCCTTCCCATTCTTTGTCTTATTTGACATGTGTATTCATTTAAAAGCACAAAGAGCAATTCCAAGAATATTCTTTGCCAGTACATATCTCCAATAGCATAAATACAGTTCACGTCAACGTCATCACAGAAGGTAAATTCTACCCTCTATTTTCCTTTTAGATGTGTAATGGATTGAAATTTTCACTATTTTAGTCCACAAGTAGATGTACCAACTCTTTAGGTTTTTACATGTGGTGAGGTTCTGTCACTGGATAAGAAAAATATGCCATTAGTTTTTACATAGTTCCTCCACATTTACAATGCGGTAAAAGTGTGGGAAGTCGTACACAGTTAAAAACAGTCTCAACATTGCTCAGCAAGCAATCATTCCCTTTTTTCCCTTCCCCATGCAGCTCACAATTGCATAGACTTCTGTGATATCCTTCTCTTAGTTGTTACCTCTTTGCCTATACTTTAATATATGTGTATAATATTGAGATGGGATTTAAATAGTTGATATGATAATGTTTTCTCTTATCTCTTGTGCTCTCCACCCTGTTCCTAGTAATTCAGGGCATACAGTTGAGATTATACAGTGATCCAAAGATAGGGGTAAATAGTATTACCAACCCCAACCATGACTAGATGAAACCTGACATACATAAGTATAAGTTTATGAGTTCATTGAAAATGTAACAGTTAACAATACTTCCTTTTTTAATCCAGATACAGGCAAAGTCCTGTCTATGGGGATGCCACTATCAGAGTTCTAAATACCATCTTCATACACCTAATTTAACTTGTGTATCAGTGAAAATAAGGAATCGTACCAATTAATCTAAGGAATAATCAAGCTGAAGTCATTGTAAAACAGGAAGAAGCTGGGTTTTAGATTTTGGTATACTTTATTATATAGGAATCTTCAGTATTCTTATTTTAGATTCTTATACATCAGCCTGCATTTTTTTCTTCTCTCCATAGCTCCATGAAAGAGGTAAACGTTAATATCCATCTGCTTTTTGATTTTTGAAATTTGAAATTGCACTTGCAGCAAATATACCCAAATATTATGATAGTTTTTGAAACAATGGGACTATTTCTTTCTAACTGAAACTTTTTTTTCCAAAGCACATGACTTTTCTATGGAAAAATTAATTCCATAGAGAAGTTTCTTATCTGCACCTTAAGTTAAAAAGTAAAATTACCTAGAAGTCACTTGGAAATTCTTAGTGTTATAAGTCATAAATAATGTTTAAGGAGTAGATATTGTTTGAATTCCAAATACAGGGAAAAAAGAAACCCCTAGAAAATATAACTCAACTGCAATATAATGGTACAGATAAATTTGAAAGTTTGGGGGGTTTTTTGTAAAAGAACTAATGGTTCCATTTTGATACACAGGCTCTGTGCTCTACCACTCTTCTGTATTAAGCAGATCTTACTTCAGTGTTTTTTGGTTTTAAATGCAGCAGGATTATTATTCACTAATTTAAGAATATCAAACCCCTGACATTTCTAGTGAAAATACACTAATGCAATATTAAATCTTGAAAATAAAAATGTTATTAACAGAAAGATCTACAAGGACATTTTCACAAGAGCTAATGAATCACAAAGTGTGAGAATACAAGCGTGCAGAGTTGAAGATTACATACGTCCACTTTGTATCTCTTCAGTCTTCTCTCATTAAGCTGGGGAACAAGTTGCAGCAAAGGATGCAGGACAGACGACTGAGAGGACATGAACACAGACACATGAGCAACAATGAAATTGGGAGCTTATGATGCAAAAAAGTCTCTTCCTGCAGTATTGGCTTATGGACCAAGCATGCACCAAAAAAGGACTGAAGCTGTTAATTGAGAAACCTATTTTTTTAACATTCTGACTTGACAACAAACAGGTACCAATATTTATATTTACACTGTGAATGTGACTCAGACAGCGAAGAAGGGAAAAGCTATGCGTCCTCACCTTTACTCACTGAAAGTTCAGAACTGTTTACAGGCTTCTTGCCCAGACAACTGCAGTTGTTCAGACTTTGTCCAGCCTCTATGAGTGGTACACAGAATATTTCCATACAGGACTCCTCCTAATACTTCTACAATTTTCTACTATGTAAGTTAGCAGCTACAATCACCATTATACTGAAAAGTTTTTTTACTTCTAAATAACTTAAACTGCAGCAAGAAAAAATATTTTTTTACTACAAAACAGTGTGCAAAAGGAATCCATTCTCAAGCAAAATTTATAACCATGGCTCTGTTCACCTAAAAAACAAGCTCCAATAATGAAATTCCTTGTGTTCAACAAGACTTTAAGCTTGCAGGCAGCCTGGTTAAGCACAGTGGTATTCTGTGCAGCATAAGAGCTCCCCTGGCAAAACACAAACATGTGGGCTTGTGGAGAGAGGTCCATAGCGAGAAATAAAGTAGAAAAACCTATGTCCCATCACAATTTAAACCTTCAACTCATGTAAATGTGATTTCTAAAAATAATGCATTTTTGATACAATGCTTCTTAAACAAGTATTACAACAAAGAGAATGATAATATATGGAATAACTAGAGATACCAAATTGTTGACGTGCTTAACAGGCAAAATGAACTTGCCTACTTGGACCCAGTTTTGCCCTGTCTGCCTAAGGTAGGCAATGTGGCATCATAATATCTAGAAAAGCAGAAACCTGACGTGAGTGGAGGAGTTAAGGGGCATCCCAGCTGGCCACTTAGGCTCTGTCTTGCAGGCAGTGGAGAGAGGTTAATAAGGCCAAGAAATGATGGATCTCACTTCAGTTAGTATCTCTGAGAACTGGGCTAGAAAACAGCCAACTAAACAGCTAAACCAGAAGAAGTGAGAAAGCAGTAAGCTCTGGGGGCAGGCAGGGGCAAAGGTATTCAGGATGGGGACAAAGGGAGACACAGTAAACTCTTAAGCAGGAGCAGCAGCAGAAATAGCTCATTTCACTGTGCCCTGATTACCATTAAAACCTCCAGAGCAGCTCTAGCATGAAAACACTGACCCCAGTATCAGCAATATGGCTTTCTAGGAAATATAACATACATTTCTGAAGAAATGTAAAGAACAAGGCAAAAATGGACATTAACATATAAGAATGATTGTTAAGAAATGAGAAAATATGAATATGCTTAACTTCCTCAAAATTTTATGGTGCACAGAAAAAACATATAAATGCACAGAAAGAACAGATTATGTTTGCACTTCAAAAGCAAGCATGAATCACACCTAGTTTATTTGTTGGTTTATGAGAATATTTTTATAGTAACAATAATATGCTATTTCTAAAATTGTATTTTTCATTTAAAATACATTCCAATGTCTGAGTGAGACTTAAATACTATTTTGCCTGACACGTATTTATGACATGTATAAATAAATACATTCAAATGAATTAATAATTAATAAAATTTAAAATTAATATTTATGTCCATGTTCTCATCTTCTATAAATCTGCATTGTTTCACTGCATATGTTATGTTCCAGTACCAGAAAAAAAGCATTTGGTGTTACTCTTAAATGTTGAAACTACAAGATTAAGATGCAGTTGGGATTCCATGAATGTTTGGTCTTTCCCCACCCCCCCC